ACATGACCGTGCAAACAACTAATGAAAATACTTTATACATCGCAGGTACAGGATCAGTTTTCTCATCGCATTAAAATATAAACTATAAATTACTTTCTAACGTTCTGGCAATACCTAAAAATGACCGATGAAAACATCGAAATAATATTTATTAGTTCGCGTAAATTATTAACAGAAGTTTGGCAACGTTGTTGACTTGCACACGGAACGACAAATGTAATGTGGATATTTTAATAATAAAGCTGATTTACCTGCGTTGCGGACCCATGGTGGATTTTTGCCACCACCGAATGGTGAAAGATTACTCATTTCCTAAGAAATACGTAGTATTATTAACAATACAAATTTAACAAGACTTCGTTCACTCTAAGCTGAGCGTCCTTCATTCAGGTGCCATCTTTTCAACTATAACTACTGAAATCAAATATTGCCCTATGCAGTGAACTAGATTTTAAATTATGAATGATATTCTAATGATGATCGCTTAATGAACGAATGATATCTTGTGTTTACTTGACAATTAATTTTCCTAATTTACTATCGACGTATTAAGAGTTATATTTGAATAAAGAAAAAAGGAATCTATGAACAATTCTTATTTGATTCCGCTGTAGTAAGTTTCGTTCGACATCTGGAGAGCAATATCACGATTTCTTAGATTCTCGATGAAAGTGTATTTTGTTTTATTTATTGGCGAATGTGTTTTCTTTTTTTGTACATTTAAATTAGTGTAGACTCATGAAAAACGCAGTTGATTATAATATGTGCAATACTCAATTGAAGTTTAATCTATCGACAAGAAATACATTTAAATAGTCATGTATTTTCTTTGACAGCTGCGGCAATGCAAGCAAAACGTCATGTCCGGTGTGGTTGTAAAACGAAATTGAACAGAATCATGATTGGTCCACAATCAAGATATTATCTCGATCCAAGGCAATGTATGACATAACATCCTTTAGTTCTCACAAATGAGTTACATTACCCAGTATAATTGTACAGTTTGCTTATTATGGGGGAGCAGAATGAAGTCTTTTTATCTAAACCATGATTTGAAGGCAAAATATCGTAAATGATAGAGAATGTGATAAGCGAAGCATTTATTTTTGTAAAAGTTGATTCGTTTTACTAATATGAGACAGTCTAATTATTACATTCTTAAATTTACAAGTAGAAAAGTACAGTAGTTTTTCGGTAAGGTACATCAGAAACGGAAGCATGCCGTTGGTCCTTTCGTGTAACCGTGGCATGTATCGCATCTGATTGGTGAACAGTAGCGACCACGCTTGCCGTTCAATATTATCGATACCACGCTGAAAATCACGGTTTTATTACATAATAATTACACAAAATAATAACTGATCATCTCTACGAGAGGACCGAAGCTGTATAGCGAGAGAGTGCCGAGAGATTGGTCCGTTTGAAATCGATTTTCAAAGTAGCAAACTTTGAACATGGCGTTGAGATCAATCTGCCGGCTGTCAATTGATTCGACCTTCAGCCATTTGAGCCATTTGGGAGCCACCGCCCGGCCGCGACGATCGTCTTTTGCATTTCTCGTGCGAACTCTCGCCTCTGCTGCTAAAAAAATGTGCGTGCAGCGTGTTTTCTTCGACATGACCGCGGACGACCAACCTGTGGGTCGTATCGTGATGGAGGTAAGTGGAAATTGTTAAGATTTAACGGATTTCTCGCTTCTTGAACATGCTGTCGTTGGAATCCCGGTATGATTGGCCATCTTGGATTTTCTTGGAAGCCGGCTGTGCTGCACGATTTTCGATTAGAATTACTATAAACATCGTTATTTCTTGTAATATGTTCCCCTGAATTTGATTTCCTTTCATTAAAATGTACGATGTCTTTGTTTTATATGACGTTGATAATAAGTTAGTACAGGTCGGTCAAGATTGTATCGCGTTACTATCTCGGTACATAGTGAATCGTAAAATTTTCCATTCACTGATTCCCGCTGACACGTTCGATTACGTAGTCCGAACAGGTGATATTGTAATACGTAAACATGAGAAATATTTGTAGAGATGACAAAAAAAAATTTCAATTAGCTTATGAACTCATTATATGTAAAATACGATTAATTTTCATAATTCAATTTTGAGAAAAGTAAATAGAAGAAAATGAACTCGTTGCTACTACGTCATAGATAAAATGGATTTTTCCATTCAATTTATAATTATACATTTTATTACCGAAATAACATGCGTCCTGTTATATAAATAGCGAATTTTTTTTCACTCGAATAAGTAAATCAAGTCAGTAAAGTAACCTTGAGAGATTGATTTTTTACATTATGGTGATAAAATGTTCGTCGTGTCATGAAGCATTTTGTTTAGTGTTGGGCTTTAGAAGTAGAAGAACGTATTTTGAAAACTTATATCATAATAATTATGAAATACATGAGAATAATTTCTCAATATAATATTGTATTAAATTTTCAGTTGAGGAGCGATATTGTTCCACAAACTGCAGAGAACTTTAGAGCTCTTTGTACCGGTGAAAGAGGCTTTGGTTACAAAGGAAGCAGTTTCCATAGAGTTATTCCAGACTTTATGTGCCAAGGCGGTGACTTCACTAATCATAATGGCACTGGTGGAAGATCCATCTATGGACAGAGATTCGATGATGAGAACTTCCAATTGAAACACACTGAACCTGGTATTCTTTCCATGGCGAATGCTGGTCCAAACACCAATGGAAGCCAGTTCTTTATTACCTGTGCTAAAACAAGCTGGCTTGATGGCAAACATGTTGTATTTGGAAAAGTAGTCGAAGGAATGGATGTCGTTAGGAAAGTACGTAACCATCTTCTCCAATTACTTTTTTCTTGATTTGAAAACAGTATTAAAGATATTAATGAAATCTGTCTTTCCGTTTCAGTTGGAAGCATTGGGATCTCAAAGTGGGAAGACTAGCAGAAAAATTATAATAGCCGATTGTGGAGAGCTGTAGATTGTTCACCTAGATATCCTAATAACTGCATTTTTATTTAGCTGTTGCATACAACTGTTGCTGTCTTTATATTGTATGATTTATTCATTCACTCATCATCATTTTCCTTTCATACCGTGGACGTAGTTCCATATTAAAAATGTACAACTACTTAAAATTGGAATCAGTCGTTCATACTGTACTTTTAATTGTGAATACTTGAAGTTCTATAAAATAGAATTCATTAAAACTTTTATCTCTGTTTCCCTTACTATAAAAGATATTCAGTGTCGCATGATTACGATAAGCAGCATGCCTTCTATATCAAAGTGGGATGTAAAACGAATTTAAAAGAAAATACTTAGATCCACATTCTTCCATGAAGTATTGCTCTTTTAAATGGTATTCAATGGTATAGCACCGTAAAGCGTATATATATATACACATATATATGTATGAAACATATTGAAGCTTGTTTCAAAAGAAAATCATTTTCCTGTGTACTATGCATATTTTGGTATGTAATAATAAAATTCGTAAGCATTTACATTTCTAAGATCTATTAGTAATGAGTGTTATATCATTTCTGTATAATCTTCGTCCGCGACGTTACGATGTTTTAACATTTTGTATCGATTTCTATCGTGCTTTCATACTTACAAATCCAGCAAAAATATGCTTCTTACCTAGGGCATTATTTCTATCCGTACTATAAACTCGTTTTCTAAATACGGAACGATGATAGAGATTCGATTAATGTAAACTATAATACCAGACAATGCCTTTAGGTAATATCATCTTATGTAACACCAATGTTGAATAATGTAGTTGCAAAGATCACAGTAATTGGGATTTCTATAAAATAAAACTTGTTTTCAGAAGTAATGTGCGTTATTTACTACTACAGAGAATCTGTATTGCCTTGTTTTATTGAGTACTTCCCATGTAATGAAAAAACAATTAAAAAAAAATCGTATGTATTTTAGTAAAAAGAAAAACGATATAAGGTTCTGAGATATCGTTTTCGCTCATTATCTGCAGGTTTTACTAACTGTGGCAGAGGGTACCATTTCGTAGGAGTAATAACACGTGTATGTACGTACGTAACAGTCATTTAATGAAACATTTACATAGTCCCTAAATCCATTTTCCTTTTACAACATTTGTATTTCGATCAGATCTTCAAGTTAATCTGCGCATTTTTGTCCGCTCTCGAATTTGTTTAAGTACCGATAATCTCGATGACGTAACAACAATTACCCGACGATCTACACAATATGTCAGAGCTACGTTCTCCCTATCTATACAAATTAATTTATCGCATTCTTATTAAAAGTATAATATATATGTATGTTAATTTTTATACACAGAATTATACATATTTTTATACGTATGTATAATATATATTTTAATTATTTAACGAGCCTTCGACCCGCGAAGGCAAACGAATACACGTATTATTATATCTTCCAGCAAATTTTGCTGCAACACTTTCCTAAGGCTGTTCCGATAAAACAAGTAACATTAAGCATTGGACTCGAGCATAACGGATTGCTTTTAATCACTCCATTTGTCAATCCTTTCCCGTTTTATAACATCGAACTTATAAGATTAAACCATGCGCCCAAATGGGAAACTTGAGACGAGGCGATTAAGAGAAAGAAACTTAATGAGAGAGTTGTTCCTTTTTTTGTATCGGCATATCAAAGAGAGACAGAAATGTCTCTGAAGTATGTTTCCTCGATCTTTTACGGGGTGAACAAAAATACGGGACGCTCGGCTTATACGCTTATGTCTATATATGTTTTAATCGAAAATATGTATGTACATACGTTCTGAAGTTGTGAAGAAAATATTACTGCCGTTGTCTTTTTATTTGTTACCGGGAAGTATAACAGTTGTGCTTACATACATCTTCGAATCTTAAAACTGACATTTCAGTTACTGGTGAAACGATTGATACATTAATGAATTTATAAACATTTCGTAAAAAAAGAAGTAGAAAAAACGAATTAAAAAGGATCATGTTGATCAGTGCAATGAATTGCTTGTTACGGGACATGGTACAACACATGCGAGGTTTAAACATTGTTATTTTGAAGCGTTCGTTCGTATTGCTCAACAACAATCTCGTCTATATTTAACCCTTTTTATAAAAAAAAAAGATTTCTTCATGGAACACCATATAACATTTATTGTACAACATATGATTCAATTACACTTTGAAATTTCAGCTTCACTTTGCTTACTTATTATCTGGAATTAGACATTACGCGTTATCTGAATATAAGGGTCGACTTTTTGTCCACATTTATTGATTGAAAGCTGTATCCATCGACATGTTTAGATCTACGAAGTTTATTGAATTTTTGCATCTAACGTTAGACCACGAATCGCGAAACAATAAATAGAAACCTTACAGTCGTTGATTCTGATTTTATTGCCACCGTAAAATCAGAAGCAATTTCACGAATGACAGATTTATTGTAAACATGTATTAGATTAGAGTGGAATTTAGATTTCAATTGTTTTCAATGGGGAAGGGATGTGTAGTGGCCACCAAAATATATTATTTTATTTATATTTTCTAGATACAAGAGAAAATTCTCTGTTTCCAATGTATCGACGTAATTTTGCAAATTGTTATTTCCACGCGATTTTGTATTTTCGTAGCCACTGTAGTAACCAGAGAATAATGTTTCCAATTGTCTCATCGTTCAACTCGTTAAAATTCACATTAAGTGAGATTGTCTGTGATCTATTAGGTCGCGTTAATCTCGGAACAAATCCTTGAACGAAGAGGCTTTGATCAAACGAGCGAGACTCGCGTTCGTGCTTCCATACTACTTGACGAACAGATCTTTTAGTGAAGAACAAATCGACGGTTCGCAGACCTCGGTTTGCTCTTGGTCCTTGTTACCACTTGAGAACCAACTGACTACTTTGCTCGATCTTGATTTATTCGGCGACACCGAGGTCTTCCCGCTCGAGCTCGATGCTTCCGCGTCGCTTCCCTTATGCGCGGTTAAAATTTTCTCGATAGCGCTGCCGAAAACCTATAAATAGAGAATTTGAGTATCCTATATAAAAAGACAAGATTAAATGAGGCCGCGAGTTAAGAACTGAACGGAACAATATAATAAAAGGAAGATTTTCGAAACATAAATCCATTGGTACAGTTCGATAAGAAATTGCATAGTGTTTTACGTTACTTTCTTTACCGAGGCGTAAAAGTTGAAAACGATCTCGTGCTCTTGAGCGATAAACTACGAGGGAAATTCTATTCGGAAAAGAAATTGGCCGCGTAACAAGTTAAACAAGAAGAAACTCGGCTGACCTGGGCGTCTACCTTCGTCCCGCTGGTGTCGTCCCATACGACTTTGTGCCGGGCGTCACTGGTGGTAGGGGACGTCCTGCCGAACGTCTCTTTTACAGCTTTCACGACCTTCGATTTATCGAATTTCAAGTTCAAAGTGGCCGTAATCAGATCCTCGGACTTTTGTTTCTTCGACATCGGCTGATGCCTCTTCGTGAACCAGTTCGATGGTGCCATGATAGACGCGGCGGTCTTCGAGGAACCGGCGAGTTTGCTTTTAGCCCCGTGAAGAATTGAAACGTCGAAACTGTTCGAGCGGAAGCTTTTCAACTTGTTTCGTTTCTGCTCAGCCGTTTTGCCGGACCAACTCGACTTGCTCTCGTCTCGCGAGCTCGACGGTTCCTCTCCGCATCGATTGATTTCCGTCGCGGAGGTAGCTAACGAGCTCAGGATCGATATCAGATCGGTGTTGGAGCAGACGATGCCCGCCGCACCGGCAACGGACGCACCCACGGCCTTTGGCAGTTCCGAGGCTCGTCTTCGCAGGGAAGACGTCGGCGAGACCGACGGAACAGGCATTTCAGAGAATCGTCGTTTCTGATTTTGGGTATACCGTTGAGTCGTCCTGTTACCCTCTAATGGCTGGATCTCCGCTACTTGTTCCGACGTCGACGTCTTGTACATCTTTAAACGCACCTGGAGAATGGATTACTACTAATTGGATGTCGCTCCCTTTCGGTTGCTTTATTCCCTCTTTCAGGGTAGTGCTTTTCGGCGAAGTAGAGTAAAGGGCTGACGGTAGCATTCAATTATTAATAATGAACATTGGCAATGAGCATTCGATGAACTTTTGTCGTCATGGAAGAAGCCAAATTAAAGAACATGAATTGCTCTGTTTTATTTATTCTTGATAACTTGCATTAATTATGAGTGAAGCATATCTCATAATTAAAAGGTAAGTAAATCGTTGCCACAGATGAAACTTTATTAGAATCTTTATTGGAACAATTAACAATTTGTATCACGTAACATTATACTTCTTTAGAGTGGTAACACAGAAATGCTTTTCCTTTACGGGAAAAATAGGTCATACGATTTTTTCAACTCTTTATTATAGTAAAACCTGCGGGTTCCCTTAAGCTTACATAGGTTTTAGATTTGGGAGGGTATCAAAAAATATCGTTCAACGTCGGCAGACCCTCACCTTCCTCAGTTTTATATCCGCGATATCGTCCATGATATCCAATTGAAGATTGTGCGTACTCCCGCTGTTGCTCGGCGGGCCAGATATTCTCGAGTCGGAGTCCCGTCGGCCCGGCAATATCCTCGTCGCGCCTCCGAGCGGGAAAGCGGCGACTGATTCACGGCGATTACGCCCGATCAGATTCATTGGCATTTTCGAAATCGTTACCACCGAGTGCCTCCGGCCTCCTGGTTGAGGGGCCGGTGCTTGAGATAGCGTTGCCAGGAAGGTGGCTTGCTTTGGCGATGGTCCTGCTTCGGCACCGCGTTCGCTCAGCCGCCTCACCTGTTGATAAGAATCGCTCGAAGTTCCACTTGCGCCCACAACTCTACTACTGAATGCGGGAGACCAGATAGTAGATGAAGCTTGACGATAAGACTTTGTAATGGTCAAATGAATCATCGTTTTATCAGATGCTCAAACAGCTTCGTAGAAGCTTTATTGACTCTATCATTTTCCCATTATATTTAATTTGTCTTTATAATACGAACTAATGAGTCGGGTTAAAAATGCATTGTCAAGAAAGGGAATGCGGTTTGCGAAAGCGTTCTTCCCGTTACGATTGTTGAACGGTACCTGGGACGCGGTTATGCCGGAAGTACATTGCGGAGTTGGTAGAGAGTGCTTCCTCGCGTCTCTCCACGGTGACAATAGATAAGGATCCAAGGACGGCGAGTCTGGATCCAGGCATCGGGGAGGCGACTCGTTTCTCCGTCGTTCCGCTTCCTCTTCACCGAGCGTGCTCTCCTCGACAATGATCTGCGGCTCACCGCTGATTCCGCTCAGACTCGAGCTGTACGACTGCCGCCTCATTCTGCCTCGTTAATATTCTCCTGAAAGCAAACCGAACGTTTCTTCTTCAATGTACATGACATCGTTTAACATTTTCAAATTGCATTCCCCAAAAGAAAGGCGCCTATCAACGGTATCGATTCTTTTTGTGCATGGTTTATTTCTGTCAGCAGAACTTCCAGTTTTCTTCGCGGATCATCGAGCCGAATGATTTTTTTCCATACAAAGGGTGATCGTGAATTTGAAACGAGCTCTACCCCGACCGACTCTATCGGATTAAGCTCCCGACGAGCATCGGATCGAGCAGAAAATCCGGAGCAGTTGAATCGAGATCGAGCCCCGGATCTCGTCAAATATTTATAGGAATGATTTTCCGGTACCGAGTTGTATCGAGTAAATAATGAAACTTCCGCTACAGAGTAACATCCAATAAGTTAAAAATAATTCGTATAAAATTTCTCTTCTGAAATCGATTTCGTTTAATGTTATTCTAGTATCATCCATATGTATTATGATACAGAGAAATCATACATTGTTACAGATATGATATGATGATACATTGATACAGATTTATTCATTGAATTTTGTAATTCGCCTGAGGTTTTTTTTATCTTATCTGAATGTGGGATTGGGATTTCCATTGTATTGCGTAGAAATTTCCCCGTACGGAAGTGGTCAGCAAAGAAAGAGAAAGAGCAGCGTATACTGAAAGATCGCGTTTGATGATTTCAGTTTGAGTATATAAGCCGGCCGTTTTCGTCCCATCAGCATCATTCCAGCGAAAGTCGATTTAAGGGTTTCGCTAGCTAGCCAGCTATCTCGATTTCTGTTGAAAGAACTCTGCCTGAAGTTTCGTTCCTGGAAACATGAAGTTTCTCGTTTTGTTTGCTATTTTCGCGACCGTCGCTTACGTGTCCGGAGCTAGCGCGCCGCAAGCAATCTACGATGGACCGACTTACGAAATGAGTACGTATTACAATCAGAATTCTATACTAAAATAATCATATATATTAATGAAAAATTTTGTGTATACACGAAATTGTAATAAGAATTATCAACCTCTTCCAAATTATGTTTGAATATTCTATGTGTACATGGGTACTGTTAAAAAAATTCTCAATTGAAGACAATCGTAGAGATAGAATAATTAAAAAAATTATAACGTATGAATTAATATAATGGACTAATTCAGTGTGAGTCATAAGATACGTATGGTTTCTCATATTTCTATAATTGTCTCATTAGGACAAATTAGAGACGCTGACGAAAATGAAGAAATGGGAACGGCGATTGCCGACGAATCCACTGAGTCACCCCTTCGACATCGCAGGGTGACATGCGACGTTCTGTCATGGAGTTCAAAATGGTTGAGCATCAATCACTCTGCCTGCGCTGTAAGATGTCTGGCTCAACGTCGTAAAGGTGGTCGCTGTATGAACGGCGTCTGCGTTTGCCGAAAGTAAGCTACACACCCGAGATTCGAATTTAGCTATACACTGCCATGATCAACTACTGCCCATTTGGTTTAGTTATATATTTCTCGTATGTAATTTTTCTTAGCATATATCTACTCATTTTCTGTATTTTATGCTGCTGTTGCATTTGTACAGAAAAATTGAATAAATTGAAATGAAAGATTAAACGTGTTTTTATTTTAATGAAGAATGAAGAATATTATTATTAATAAGGTGATGATTTAAAAATTCAACGACTTGTTGAAATCCCTTTCAATATACGTGTTATAGAATTGCATTTATAGAATAAAATATTGAATGCATGAAACGTGCAGGAAATTCTTTAAAAGCTATTTTTATTTTTTTCTATTTGTAACTGGCATTTACGATTCAATAGTCGATTGTCTGAAAAAATAAAGGTAGCGAGAAGTATTCGTATTCTATGCTCGTTCAAAGGGGAAGAACTAATTTGATTCGTTAGTTACGTCAAAAGCGAAGAATTTCAATGACACGGTTCAGAGAGCGGTTTAGTGGAGAACTTTTCAAAACTCGATTCGCTTTCGAAGTTGGATTGATTCGTACCTCGGGCTTGATTTCACGCGGAATGTTTAGAATTACAAATATCAGCAACTTAATTCTCACAAGTCATCCAGTTGTATGAACTTTAATGTCAACTCGGCTTTTCAGTAGTTATCTCTTAACTAATTAGAACTTTCGCCAGATTGAAATTGCAAACATCTGTTGCGCTTAAAATATTAATAAAAGATCATATCATACTTATAGCTAAGTGATGCATCTCGTGCACAAATTTTATTAAGATAAGTAGTGGGACTAGCGTTAAAAAGCCAATAATAAGTATCGTGTGCGGGAAAAATCAATCAAGAACCAATTTGTTCGCGGCGTAGCTATCCCGATCAGTTTGCTTTTTAGGAAGAGAAAACTTATAAAAGTTTAAGAAGATAGTTTAAGTTATATTACGGCATGAGCACATTCTTTGTGTTCCATTCAATTTTGTATTATGCTTTGAATATTAAAGAATATTCTGAGAAAGTAGCTGAACGATCCCGCTTAATGGATTTCTTCCTGTGTTCCCGTCAGTGAATAACAAGACGTTAAACGTAATGGACGATATCATTCCGCTTAATGTTGTTACTACCGAACTGTATTTTTATCCTACCTGTGCATGCCATATTTTCTAAACGGTTTACTCGGTTAGGGGATGAGGATAATAGTAATAACGTCGGAATAGAATTCTTAAGGCAAACGAAGTATCGATTTTTAATGTACATTTAGATACTGTAAAATATGAATTTAATAATCTTGTTAATTTTGTAAGCGGAGAGATATTTTATTTTATTACAGTACAATAGAATTCGATTGCGCAAAAGTTTCATTAGCCACGTACTCATTGAATTGCATTGGTTTTGAAAGCATTTCATTTCATGATATTGAATTCCCGAAAGAAGTATTTCATTTTTCATTAACGTTACATTCACGTTTTCTATTCGTTTTTTTCTCATTGTACCTTTCATGAATTTCACAATCGGCAATGTTTTTAAAAATCTATAATTATTTTTATGAAATGAAATTTATATATATGAATGAATATTAAACATAATTAGGTTTATGTAATATCGAGCTTAGAAACCTCATTGTACATATATTGACAATGTCGGTTTTTCGATAGATCTCTAGTACTTAGATTTTTCCCCATTATTTAAATTTAATGCGTTGTATCATAAAACTAGTTTTCAACGTAGACTCTGAGGTCTGATGCATAATGTATCGCTGCGACAAAACAGGTACAACAGAAGTTTGGATTCTTCAAATCAAGAAACGTATGCACCCTGCGATGCCCGAGAACTTGTATAAACCTGTGAAATCCGTCGCTTTGATGTCTAACATAGAATACACAATTCTTGGAAGTGGAAACTGACCTAAGCGTTTGCCAGGGTATTGTAAACTTATGCTATAAAGCCCTTTGAACGTAATGAGATCGCGTTTTGAAACTTAATAATTGAAGATGAATGGGAAATGTGAGTAATTAATTATCAGAACATAGTACTTATATTAAATCAGTGAATTCTATCTATCGTATCCTCTACAAAGAGTATAGGAGAAAATAAATTTCGTTTCGCTTTTGATACATTTTAATTTTCTACTCTGTTGACATTTAATGAGAGCGAAGAAAAGCAGACTGATTATCATAAAGCATTTGCATAAACGATGCATGTAAATGCGAGTTATCGTGAAATGAAAGACAACGGTGTTATCCGTTTATTTTATGTAGCCACGAAGTTCAATTAAAATTCATGTTTTTACAGGAAGTAACATCCATACAAGTGGTCAACAGTAAACCAGTTCGTCGCAATGACCGTTCAATTACCGAGATGAAATTTAAGGAAAATTAATAACCGTGCGGTAGACGTTGTTTTTTTTCCACAGCCTTGAGTGATGAAAGTAGTATTGGGTAGTAACTGATCAGACATAATCCCTCTCGACGGTCGTTCAATATCCTCTGTTGTTAGTGTCAATTATTTTCCTAATTTAATGAAATGATATTGATCTCCTTAGGACAGTAAAATAATTGTGATCTACTGCTTTTTGATAATTAACTCTTTGGGATAATTTCTAATAATATTATTAATCGTAGGAAAACCAAAACATTACTGAAACTGATTAAAATTGCAAAAATATACTAAACATGTTCGGTGACTTCATTTTCATATTTCAATTGGTACGCTTCAGCCGGAGTATTTTTTCAATTCGTTCTTCGGTGAACTTTGTAGGTAACTCATTTCTAACTTTAGCGGAAGTACGCCGCGCAATCATAAATCACGAATTCGGCCACGATGGTTAAAGTTTTCAATTCCATCCCGAAGGCCGCCACCATCCTCTTGCGTAGAATAACTTCTAGAATTGTCAAAAGTTTAAGCCACGTTTTACTTCTCTTCACTGTATCAGGTTATAAAGACCAGAGGGAACTGAGTCGAACTTAACTGCCGATTAAAGACAATTAAAGTTGAGGTACCTGTACAACGAACTTTTAATTCTGTATAAAGTGGATAACGTGCAAAATAGTATTACTTTCAATTCCCGACGAAGGAGGATAATACCTCTGAAACGAAGTTGTAAATATTAAATTATTACTTCATTTTTGTTCTAGATTAATTATTCTTTATCAACCGCAGACTCGATGTTGTGATCCAGCATTTTTCAAAACTTAGCAGTTTTCAGAATTAACGTTTCTTAAGATATGAATGTATTACAAAATTTAACAGAGACGGGATCGCAGGAAGGAAGATGCGGTTTAAGCGACTTCGCGCTCCAATCAACCTACTGTACTCGAATGCGATTCCTTGAAAGATACCGAGTGATATCCAATAAAGCAAAGACCTGGTGAGTGCAGCTTTAGATAGTCTATCGATCGTGGACCGCGACCACGTTTCACCCCTTAGACGATAAAAACTTAAAGCGTATGGAGTTACTGACTGCACGCTTCCTCTCCTATTTTTTTTTTATACACATGCATGTATGTACGTAAACCCGGTAAGGCTAGACTGCGTGATTCCACGACCCTCCGTAGTTTGCGTCACAACCCGATGTGTCGAATGACGTCACGTTGTTCGTGATGCTGCGAACAACCGGGGAAGAAGCGCTAATATGTAGCGTGTATAGCAATATTGTAAAATAGAGAAACGTATTTCGTTCCTCGGGTGTTTGCTAACTTTTTTAGTAAAACTAACGTGGTCCTTTTAGGACAAGGCAACGAGAAGTTCCTCGATAAAAAGGTCTATACTTTATACTGAATGCCGAGTGCAGCGTAGCGTCCGAGTTTCGTAGCAAAAATTATCGACGTACTTTTTCGTCCCAGCTAAAGGAGTTCTAGGTTTAACGGGTAACTCGGTTTCTATTATTTAATCAATGTTACAAAACTTCTCTTCATAGTTCACTTCTCACATAGTACAGTTTAATAACATTCGAGAATTTTAATATGCATAACGCCTCTATTACATTATCCTGTGAAAAAGGTTCAATAATTGATTGATATACATACTTAATGATAAATTGAATTTAATCAAAGGTGGTATGTATTCTCTTTTAGAGGCAGTCATTTAGTTATCGAACTATAATGTAACGATTATCAATATTAAAGAGTATCGCTTGTTTACTTTTTCCAGTTGAATGTTTCTCCTAAGCACGCTGGATACGTGTTGAAAATTTGTGATACAGGGAAAGAATAATAATGGGGCAAAATTGTTTTCACCCTTGTGTAACTAAGAAGCTCGTACAATATTATTACCTTTTACTTTCACCCATGAAAGGCCATAAACGTCCCCGGGTACAAGGAGATAGCGGAAGAAGGAATGGTGTAATGTTAATAAAACTTTTACTATCAAAAAAAGTTACCACATTTTTCCATGAAAGTGGTCCCTATTGGCTTCAACGCGCCGCTCCGTCTTTCTTTTCCTCACGCTTTGAGGCTATTTTAGTAGATCTTCCGCCTTTTAGTATTTTTACTAAGAAAGTGTCATAAAAAAACAAGCAATTTCCATGGCCGGATAATATGCAACGCATAGCGCGCTGGATTTTGAAAAATTTTAAAAGGAAATTCAAGCTCGGCCAAGCGCACACGTTAATTAGCAATTTAGAACGAAAAATTGCGAGAGCAGGGAAACTATCGAATTCTCGAGCCATCGAATATTTAACATTCCAGCAAATTTTGGAAGCAACGGACTAGATCAAACTACGCAAGGCCGAACGGGAGATAATTCACGTTCACCCTTCAGTGAAGAGCTTCCGGCTGGAAATCGTGGAACATTTTAGATATATCAAATAAAATTTATTAAGCCCTCGGGGGTAAACGAGAATAGAATGCAGCATCAACTTAATCCCCTTATAGCCCGAATATTTCTGACACGCTTCTGTGCATATGGAATTCATTCAGACACGTTTACCTTTTTGTATGACACTATCTTCTAAATCTTGTGTTCTCTATAACGTTATATCATTTGCATTTTTTTACAAAATGAATGGAAAATTTTTTACGAAATAGATCTGTCAATGTCCATTCGATTATCACGAGACACGAGCACGATTCTTACTATCGTATTGAGATAAATCTCAGAACGGGGGATGCAGCGCGAGGGGCATTTCTGCGAGACTCTCGATAAAAGTATTCGCGGGG